GTAGCAAGTTCTTTAGGTTTTTCAATGTTGATCAGTCTCCAGTTCTTTGATTTCGGACAGACAGCAAACTGGGAGCCAATGCAATTCCTTTAAAAAAAAATCAGGATGAGAGGCTTTCTGAATGGAATTGCAGCAGGAGTCTAGCTACTATATTTTGCACTTGTTGCAGTTTCTGGAATGTCTTCTAGGGCCTTCCTTCTTGAACTGTGGGTTCCAACCACAAATGAAATCCCTTTAGCTCAATGTTGGAGATGCAGAACATTTGGCCACAGTAAAAGGTTTCCGAATGCCACCTAGTGGATGTTTTAGACATCTATCCAAATCTGTAACAATCCACAGAAAATGCTTCAGCTGTACTTCATGAAAAGAACAATCCGCCTGCTTAGCAAGCCTTGCAAATGTTGATTTATTATCAGTAAATGTTTAGTTTGTCTACCTAGTTTATATACCTCTGTATTCAGGCTTATGTAAAAAAAATAGGCGGAAAGTTGAAGAAGCCCTGTTTTTGGGCAACCCCACACAGAATGTGTAGCATTCCTCTAATGGGAATAAGGCTCCTTCTACACTGGCCTATATCCCAGTATCTGATCCCAGATTATCTGCTTTAAATTGGATTGTATGAGTCTCCCCTGCCAGAAAATATGGAATAAAAAGATAATCTGGGATCGGATCCTGGGATATAGGGACAATGTGGAAGGGGCTTTAGTCATCCCTCTCCAGGAAATGTTATAGTTAATGGAAAGAGGTCCCAAACACCGCTAGGAATGGGGCCTGTCTGACTAGGAGGATGGCCTTCCTGCTAGCCCCTGTGGGATGCAATGTGGAGCTCATTTAGCCTTTGACCCAACACTGCACCTCTCATGGTCCTATAAGTTTCTCAGTGAACTGTATTATGTGAGTCTACACCAACCATATCATACAATTTCAGTCTGTGCTATATAGCAGCGTACATCCAGCCATAGTGAGAAATATTTACATGTCCCCACGTATATATGTATAAAAAACCAAATACTTACGATAACAAGGCTTGCTTGACAGGCCAGTTTCCCTTTTTATGAAGTACAGCTGCAGCATCTTCTGCAGAGTGCACTGTAAACACTGCACAATAGATGTGTGTCAATGTCTAAAGACAGCTACTAGGTGACAACCCTGAGATAGATCTTGCTAACTGGGGGAGGGGGCTCCCTTAAGCTCCCCGGTGACCTTAACCCTGCCCTCTCATCACCTGAGGGAGACCCCCCCCCCCTCATTGCCACCCTGGAAAACACCCCCATGAACCCCCACCTCACCCTTCAAGGAGAAAAGGCAGCCATTAGTCTCTCAGATTTTAAGAATCACTTGCTCAGGATCTTATCTACAGGAAAGGGCAAACACAAGAATACAAGTGCTACACATGCCATTGGGGCATGATTCCTTCCTTCGTGGTGAAGCAGGGCTGCGGTGGTGTAATGGGTTAAACCCTTGTGCTGCTGAAGGTTGGCAGGTCAAATCCACAGGACTGGGTAAGCTCCCACTGTTATCCTAGATCCTGCCAACCTAGCAGTTCGAAAATATGGAAATGTGAGTAGATCAATAGGGGAAGGCACAAGACACTCGAAGCAATTATGCCGGTCTGGCTCCTTGGCTTGGAAATGGACAACAGCACCTCCCCAGAGCCAGAGATTAGCCGGAAATGAAAGGAGAACCCTCTGCCTTTGTTTGTGTTTGTGTGTCTCATTGTATTGTAACAAGGCATTGAATGTTTGCCTGTGTCTGTTTATATTGTAATCTGCTCTGAATCTTCATGGGGAGAAGGATGGAATATAAATAAAGTATTATTATTATTATTATTATTATTATTATTATTATTATTATTATTATTATTCCTCTCAGATTTCAGTGGTCTGAATTACTCTCACTCCTCCAGGAATCCTGATTTTTCTCCTTCTCTTCTCCTCCTCCTCTTCCTTTTATTCCTACTCCTCCCTCCTCCTCTTCTTCCTCTTTCTTCTTCCTCCTCCTCCTCCTTTTCTTGCTCCTTCTCCCTCTTCCTTCTCATCTTCTTCCTCATCCTCCTCTTCTTCTTCCATCTCCTCCCTCCTTCTCCACCTCCCTCCTCCTTCTCTTCTTTTCTTCTTTCTCAGCTTCTCTCTCCTCCTTTCCCCCCTGGCCATTCCATTCTTTCCTCTTTTATTGGCCTTACTATGAATTGTCAAGCAAGGCTGAGAGATAAAGTTCGAATTGGCGGTCTCCATACAGTCCATTGTCTTCGGTGATGATGGCAGGTGCCCAATCGCGCAATGAGACATCAGGCATGGGCAAGTTTTGGCCCTCCACTTGTTTGGGCTTTTAACTCTCAGAAATCCCAGCCATCTTACCGGCTGTTAGGAATTGTGAGAGTTGAAGTCCAAAACACCTGGAAGGCCGAGGTTTGCACATGCCAAGGCTAGGGTTTTTGACTGTACTTTTTCCTGCCTGGCAGAATAGGGTCAAAGGCTTCCAACTCTAGGATGACCCGATCCTAGGCGTTACAATTCGCAAGCCTCCCGTGGACTGGACGTGGCCCCTCCTGCGTTGGCTGCTAATTCAAAAAGATGGAGAGAGAGAGAGAGAGACATGACTTATCTAAAAGGGAGGGAGGGAGGGAGGGAGGGAGGGAGGGAGGGAGAGGAGGGAGGGAAGGGAGGAAGGAAGGAAGGAAGGAAGGAAGGAAGGAAGGAAGGAAGGAAGGACGGAAGGAAGGAAGGAAGGGAGCTCCTCCGAACTCCAGGCAGCCTGAGGGGACCCCCAAGGCCATCCATCCAGGCACAGAGAGAGAGAGAGAGAGAGAGAAGGGCGGCTGATCAACGTGGTAAAGAAAGGAGGGAGGGAGGGAGAGGCGGGAAGAAGGAAGGGCAAAAGCGTGGAAGGGAAGAGGGAAAGGGAGGGAGAAAGAGGGAGATAAGGAAAAAAGAGAGGGAGAGAAGAAGCACGGAAAGAGAGAAGGATGGAAGGGAATGGATGGAGAGGAAGGAAGGAAGGAAGGAAGGAAGGAAGGAAGGAAGGAAGGAAGGAAGGAGGAAGAATAGAAGAATGGAAGAATGGAAGAATGGAAGAATGGAAGAATGGAAGAATGGAAGGAAGGAAGAATGGAAGGAAGGAAGGAAGGAAGGAAGGAAAGAAGGAAGGAAGGAAGGAAGGAAGGAAGGAAGGAAGGAAGGAAGGAAGGAAGGGAGGGAGGGAGGGAGGGAGGGAGAATGGAAGAAAGGAAGAATGGAAGGAAGAAATAGAAGAGGAGGAAGAATAGGAAGGAGGAAGGAAGAGTGGAAGAAGGAAGGAAGATGGAAAAGGAAGGAGGAGGAAGGGAGGGAGGAAGGAAGGAAGGAAGGAAGAATGGAAGGAAGGAAGAATGGAAGGAAGGAGGGAAGAATAGAAGAATGGAGGTAAGAATGGAAGGAAGGAAGGAAAGAAGGAAGGAAGGAAGGAAGGAAGAATGGAGGTAAGAATGGAAGGAAGGAAGAATGGATGAATGGAAGGAAGGAAGAAAGGAAGGAAGAATGGAGAAGAAGGAAGGAAGGAAGGAAGGAAGGAAGGAAGGAAGGAGGGAAGGAAGGGAGGGAGGAAGGGGGGAGAGAGGAAGGAAGGAAAAGGAAGAAGAAGGAAGGAAGAAGGAAGGAGAAGGAAGAAGGAAGAGGAAGAAGGAAGAAAGAAAGGAAGAAAGAAGGAAAGAAGGAAGGAAGGAAGGAAGAGGGAGGGAAGGAAGAAAGAAGGAAGGAAGGAAGGAAGGGAAGAAGGAAGAAAGGAAGAAGGAAGGAAGAATAGAAGAATGGAGGTAAGAATGGAAGGAAGGAAGGAAGGAAGGAAGGGAGAGTGGAAGAATGGAAGGAAGGAAGGAAGAATGGAAGGAAGGAAGAATGGAAGGAAGGAGGGAAGAATAGAAGAATGGAGGTAAGAATGGAAGGAAGGAAGGAAGGAAGGAAGGAAGGAAGGAAGGAAGGAAGGAAGGAAGGAAGGAAGGAAGAATAGAAGAATGGAAGAATGGAAGAATGGAAGAATGGAAGAATGGAAGAATGGAAGGAAGGAAGAAGGAAGAAGGAAGGAAGGAAGGAAGGAAGGAAGGAAGGAAGGAAGGGAGGGAGGGAGGGAGGGAAGAAGAAGGAAGGAAGGAAGAGAATGAAGAAGGAGGGAAGAATGGAAGGAAGAATGGAAGGAAAGAAGGAAGGATGAAATGGAAAAGGAGAGGAAGGAAGGAAGGAAGGAAGGGAAGGAAGAAGGAAGGAAGGAAGAAGGAAGGAAGGAAGGATGAATGGAAGGAATGGTGGATTACTGGAAGGAAGAAGGGAAGAAAGGAAGGAAAAAAGGGAAGAAGGGAAGGAAGGAAGGAGGAATGAATGAATGGAAGGAAGGAAAACAATTCGTTATACGCGGTCCTTCACTAAGGTGGGACCAAGGCCTTTGCCATCCCTCCAAGAGAGTAGGACCCGGCCGGAAAATCGAACTTCTCCTCAGACAGACCAGGGCACTGAAAGAAGCTGAAACACCCTTGAAGTTGAGGAACTGTTTGCAGTGACTCGAGGCGGAAAACGGGAATGCTTTCCACTTATTTTCCCATATCAAAGTAACGAGAGAGGCGTCGCAAAGCCTCACATTGACGCCCGCGTAGACACTTCTAGCATTCAACCGCACTATTGGAGTTTGTTGAGCGTGTATGTCCCGGATGGGCGGGAAAGGGTTAAAGGCTCGCGCCGTGGGAGCCAATCCGAGGGCGGCCCGAGCGGAGCCCAGCCCAATGGGAGCGCGCCGGACGGTGGAGCTGTCACTCAGCGGCGAGGCATGACAGCCGGCCGCGCGAGAAAAAGGCAGCGAGCGGCCGAGACGAGAAACAGAGGCGCGGCAACGACGGGGAGGGAGGGAAGGAAGGAAGGAGGGAGAGAGAGAGGAAGGAAGGAGGGAGGGAGTGGGGGTCCCGGCAGCAGCGCAGGCCAGCGGAAGAGCCTTGAATGGGAGGGCTGCGGTGGGCGCCGAGGGCTCCCGCTGCTGCTGCTGCTGCTTTTGTTGCTGCCTCTGCTGCCATGCGCGGGCCCAGCTGAAGGGCGGCCCAGAAGCGCCATGGCCCTGCGCGGCGGCGGCGGCGGCGGAGGAGGCAGCGTCCCAGCCCCGACGCCCTTCTCCATCCAAGCCATCCTCAACAAGAAGGAGGAGCGGGGCTTCGCGCACGGGCGGCTGCAGCTCCCGCCTCCGCCGGCAGGGGGCGCCCTGGCCAGCCCCGACGCCTGCTGCTGGAAGCTCTTCCAGGCCGCCGCCGCTCTCCAGCACCACCAGCCCGCTTTGGGGGCCCCCGCCCCGGCTCCTTGGGACTCCGACTCGGCCTTGAGCGAGGAGCGGGAGGAGGAAGAGGACGACGACGAAGAAGAAGAGGAGGACGAGGAGGAAGAGGAGGAGGAGGAGGGAGAAGACGAGGGAGTCCTCCTCCCCGAAGGCCCCGCCAAGGACCACTCGGAGCAGCCTGACCCATCCTCAGGTAGGCAGGGAACCGAGGGTGGCGCCCCAGAAGGAAAGGGCTCTCCACCGAATCCTTGTTTCCACAACAAGCCATTTCCCCCCAAACCCACCAGGAAAGGAAGCCCTGCCTCCTCCAACTGTTAGACTCGCTAGGAGTCCCTCAAAGCCCCGCTGATTTCTCGTCTTCCGTCAGCGGGGAATGGAAAGGAGCGATGTTATTATTATCCAGGCTTACAGGCGTCCTCCCTTCTAAGTTGGACTCGAAAGAGTCTGAAACTCAGTTAAAAACATCCGATTTGCAAACTGCTCCTAGTTAAGAACGTCGCCGGCAACAGGAAGGAAGAGAAATCGACTTCTAGGGACCTCATCACACTAGAGAATGAATCCACTTTAAATCCGGTTCGTGTCCCTCAGAATTTTGGGGTTTGTAGTTTAGGGAGGAGCCTTTAACACCCTCACGAAACTACAAACCCCAGAATTCATTCTCTAGTGTGATGATACATTAAGAAGGAAAATTCACTCTTGGAAGAGATATTATCACTCCCTCGGAAGGGATATTCACTCCTGAAAGAGTTATTATCATGGGAAGGGGGGGGGGGGTCTCAACTTCAGTGGAGATTAATCTTTGTTGCATAACAAGCCCCCTTTGTCAAAACCCAATGAGCCCGAGAACAAAAAGTGAGGGGATCTCTTCTGGACGGGCACAGACAACACAGCAAACACCACAGGGCTGCTAACTATGCTACGATATCCAAAACTCGCTGCTGTCGCGCGCTCTCTCTCTCTCTATCTATATCTTCAAAACTGTATCTCTTCTGACTTACAAACAAATCCAGCTTAAGAACAAACCTACAGGACCGATCGCGTTGGTAACACGGGGGGACTGCCTTTATTTGGTTAGCTGTAGCAGACTCCTGCCATGCAGTTTCAGAGAAGTCGGGTTTTGGACTGTGGTCCTCTGGAGGAAAGGAAGGAAGGAAGGAAGGAAGAAGGAAGGAAGGAAGGAAGGAAGGAAGGAAGGAAGGAAGGAAGGAAGGAAGGAAGAAGAAGGAAGGAAGGAAGGAAGGGAAGGAAGGAAGAAAAAGCAAAGAAGGAAAGGCAAGGACAGGAAGGAAAACCAAGGAAGGAAAGGAAAGGAAAGAAAGCAAGAAAAGAAAAGAAAAGAAAGGAAAGGAAAGGAAAGGAAAGGAAGAAGGGAAAAGAAAGGAAAGGAAAGGAAGGAAAGGAAAAAGGAAAGGAAGGAAGGAAGGAAAGGAAGGAAAGGAAAGAAAGGAAGAAGGGAAACAAGGAAAGGAAAGGAAAGGAAAGGAAAGGAAAGAAGAAGGAAGGAGGAGGAAGGAAAGGAAAGGAAGAAAAGCAAGAGGAAGAAAGGGAAAGGAAGGAAAGGAAAGGAAGGAAGGAAGGAAGGCAAAATAAGGAAAGGAAAAGAAAAGAAAAGAAAAGAAAGCAAACAGGCAAGGAAAGGAAAAGAAAAGAAAAAAGAAAAGAAAGCAAGGAAGAGAAGGAAAAGAAAATAAAGAAGGAAGGGAAGAGAAGGGAAGCAAGGAAGAAAGGAAAAGAAAAGAAGGAAGGGAAGGGAAAACAAGGAAAGAAAGAAAAAGAAAGGAAAGCAAGGAAGGAAGGAAAGGAAAGGAAAGGAAAAGAAAAGGAAGGAAGGAAAGAAGAAAGGAAGTAAGGAAAGGAAAGGAATGCATAGAAAGGTAAGTAAAAGAAAGAAAAGGAAAGCAAGCAAGCAAACAAGCATGGGTGGGAGGGAAGGAAAGGAAAGGAATTCTCTCCTCTGTGTGCTCGAAACCATATCGTACCAGAAGTCAATGCTGACTGCTTGCAGAGAGGAACACAACCGTGTGTCCTACTTGGGGTTTTGAGGATTTCTTTTAAAATGGGCTTCTTCCCTTAAGTGCTCCTGTGACTGGATCTCCACCGCCCTGTGATGCAGTCCCTGCATTCTGTTGCCAGTGCAGCCCCCATAATACAGTTCAACTGCATCTAACTGTGTTTTGTGTAAGTCTACACTGACCATACAATGCTGTTCCGCACTGCATTATATAGCAGTGTGGATCCAGCCTGTTTCAACGCTATTTGTTTGGCGTGGAGGCTTCCACCGCTCCATCAAAAGTAAGCAGGCTATTTCGACGAATGGCTGCTTCTCTTCAGCACGTAAAGCTTGCTTACATTTCTGTTTTCTAGCCCTGGAAATACCAAGCCTGGGCACTTTCCCTCTCTTATCCAATCTGTGAATGGACAAAACTAAAACTCAACGCTTTTAGCTTTAATCCAGGCGCCCAGGTCTGCAATCTTACACACAAGTTTTGTTCCTGGCTTATAAATGTCATTTCCTAATTGGGTCTATCATTTTAAAAAACGAGAAAAATTGATTAAACTGCAAAAACTTTTGTGTGTAGGACATCCCGCAGCACATTTTGCTGTAGTTTTACAACGAGAGTCTCAACCAACCTAGTTTGTGAAGGTTTCTTTAAAGTAAATGCTGCGCAATTAAAGCGGAATAACACAGCACCCAGGAGGGCCCTTCCACACAGTCATATAACCCAGAATATCAAGGCAAAAATCCCACAATATCTGCTTTGAACTGGGTTTTCTGAGTCCACACTGCCATATATTCCAGTTCAAAGCAGATAATGTGGGATTTTATTCAGCTGTGTGGAAGGGGCCTAAGTTGCTGCCATAAAAGCATTCCTGAAGGAGGTCCATCCAAACTCTTGTTGTTGTACAGCCCTGAGGCGAGCCTCTTGCGGGGGTTTCTCTGAGAGTGTGTGACTCACCCAATGGGCTTCAGTGATGAGGAGCGACTCAATGGCCATCTCTCCGGGGTGCTTTGATAGTGTTTTTCCTGTACTTGAGTGGTTGTGGGCTGGATGGCCCATGTAGTTTCTTCTGACTCTATGATTCTATGAATCCCTGTCACCCAATGAAATAAAATTGACGCCTTGACTTTACATCATCATCATCATCATCATCATCATCATCATCATCATCATCATCATCATCATCATCATCTATATAAATAAAAATGTAATGTTCGTTTGTGGGATTAGCATAACTCAAAAACGACTGGACGAATTGACACCAAATTTGGACACAATACACCTCTCAGTCCAATGACTGACTATCACTCATAAAAACACTGAGAAAAGGACTTAAAAAGTAAAAAAAAACCCCTCCCATTACAACGCATGCACAAAACCACACACGCACACACACAAAAATACACGTATACACAAATATATACACACATATGCATATATATGCACACACAAAACACATATACACAGACTGGGCCACAGCACCGCGTGGCAAGGTATGGCTAATAATAATAATAATAATAATAATAATAATAATAATAATAATAATAATAATAATAATAATATAACAATAACTCTTTACTCCAATTCATCTTCTATGACACTATAAGTAACAGGATTTGGAAAAAATATATCTGATCCTGCTTTGAAAGTGTTATTTCCTGTTTAATTGCGCAGTACTTACTTTGAAAGTAGTTCTTATACTCCATAAACTTTGTTTTTGCGGCAGCCACAAACTATGTTGAATTGGTTGGGAATTATGAGAGATTCATTGAAAAACTAGAGGAAAATGCTTTGCAGGATGTCACGCACCAAGTAAGTTTTTACAGTTTAATCGAACTTCTATATATATATTTTGTAATAGAAGCGATTAGGAAATAATAATAATAACAACAACAACAACAACAACAACACAACAATAATTACACTCATCTTGTTATGTTTCAAATAATAATAATAATAACCAGTAAAGGTGGTCCCAGTGGTGATCGGCACACTGGGTGCAGTGCCTAAAGACCTTGGCCTGCACTTAAACACAATCGGCGCTGACAAGATTACCATCTGCCAACTGTAAAAGGCTACCCTACTCGCCGATATATCACACAACCCTAGACACTTGGGAAGTCCAATACAACATAGAATCATAGAATCAAAGAGTTGGAAGAGACCTCATGGGCCATCCAGTCCAACCCCCTGCCAAGAAGCAGGAATATTGCATTCAAATCACCCCTGACAGATGGCCATCCAGCCTCTGCTTAAAAGCTTCCAAAGAAGGAGCCTCCACCACACTCCACACACAACAGCCAGAAGAGCGCCTGCTGTGGACTCATCTTTCTAATAATAATAATAATAATAATAATAATAATTATTATTATTATTATTATTATTATTATTAATTGTATTAAAGGTTAAAGGTTGTCCCCTGACATTAAGTCCAGTCATGTCTGACTCTGGGGTGGTGGTGCTCATCTCCATTTCTAAGCGGAAGAGCCAGCGTTGTCCATAGACACCTCCAAGGTCATGTGGCCGGCATGACTATAAATAATAATAATAATAATAATAATAATAATAATAATAATAATAATAATAAGCCTTTATTTGTACCCCGCTACCATCTCCCGCAGGACTCCGGTGCGGCTTACAAGAGGCCGAGCCCAAAGTACACCATTAACAAAAACACAACAGACAACAATACAATGCAACAATAAATAAGCAAGCCAATAAAACAATAACAAAAGCACGAACACTGTTAAAAACCTGTGGCAGGGCCAAATGTAATGGTTAAAATTCTAAAAATTCTGGGCATGTCCAGGTGAGGTAGAATGGATATTTTGGGAATAGAAGGGTGTGCAGACAATTCTAACTCTCTCAAAAAGTGCATTAGGGACAATTGCTTGGGATTCCTTAATCTGGGAAGGCACACTGTAACATCCATGGCTGCATGGAGCGCCGTTACCTATTGATCTACTCACATTTGCATGTTTTCGAACTGCTAGGTTGGCAGAAGCTAGGGCTGACAGCGGAAGCTCACGCCGCTCCCCGGAATCGAACCTGCGACCTTTCAGTCAACGAGCTCAGCAGCTCAGCGCTTTAACCCACTGCGCCACCGGAGGCCCCTATTAATTGTAATTATTATTATTATTATTATTATTATTATTATTATTATTATTTTCGTGTCAGGAGTGACTTGAGAAAC